TATGAAGATTTGTGAAAGCAAGCTTGCATGCTTTGAACATTTGCAGCCCCTTTGCACACTAGAATTTTCTTACCAGGATCTTGCCCCTACACCAATTATTCACCACAAAACCAAGGCCTCAGCATGTTCACAGTGTTTCAACAATTCAACCAGTTTACTGTAACAAATTTAATATCAACTTGCTTATCAAGCTTTCATCAGCCTGTACCATCAACTTTTTATCAACATTTTAATGTATTATGTTTAAATCAATGTGTATGTTTTTAATGTTTTATCAACTTTTAAAGTTTATTAACTTTTTTTATCAATGTTTATCAACTTTTTATCAACTTTTATCAACTGTTTATCAATGTTTACCCATGTTTTATCAATTTTATATCATTGTTATATTGTGTTTATCAACTTTTTATCAATTTTTATCACTGTTTATCAACTTTATCAACATTTATCAACTTTTATCAACTTTTATCAACTACTTTATCAACTTTTGTATATTTTGTCATTAACCTTTCTATCAACTTAGTTCTCCCCTTCCACCCAGGTCACTGGATGAGATCACCAGCCCAGTGAAGAACTCGGTGTGTGAGAACATGGGGAATTCAAGTGAGCTGCCAGAAGCTCCAAGCTTGGAGTTGGATGCTCCCCAGCATCCACATGGCAATGAGAGTGAAGGGGCTGTCATTTTTTCAAAGCATCAACACAACGAACAAGGGAGTGTGCCTCATGCAGAGACACTTCAGAGCAGCACTGGTGGCAGCTCAATGGAGGTTCCTCATGGCAACCAATGTGAAGATGGCACAATACCTGGGGGCAACAAGAATGAGCTAGGCAAGGCGGCTATCACAAGATTGGCTCATTTGGATGAGACAGAGCCCGCAGAGCCCATTGAGGCTGAGGCTGAGGGGCTTGAATCACCCCACAAGGAGAGGCTTGAAGCTCCAAAGGCTAAGGCTAAGGCAAGGAGCCAGAAAAATGAAGCTGCCCAGCCCAAAGCAAAGGGCAAGGCAAAGGCCAAGGCAGCAACCAAAAAGCCAGCTTCAAAAGCCAAAGCAAAGGCAAAGGCCAGGGGCAGGCCCAGGATTCCAGACGAAGAGAAGATCAACAATGGCAAGCGGCATCAGAGCCACCGCTCCCGACCTCGGATTGTGGTGCCCAAAATTGAGCCTGAACCAAGCCAGAAGCAAGAAGACACTCCAGGAGTTTCAGGAGTTCCAGGAGTTGTTGCCCCAGAAGACACAGCAGAGAGTAAGAAGCCCCTGCGAGCCACATTTGCAGGGCGCATTGCACCCTCGACCTCGGATGGAAAAGAATTCTTTGAACACCTGAAGGCTATCCACATGGAGCATGCACCTCCCAAATGCAGGAGTGAGAAGATGCAGCGGCAATTGTGGAAGCATGTCAAGGAAGCTGCTGGCTTTGGCTGTGGCAAAAGTGAGATGAAAGTCTTGTGCTTGCAATTCTTCAAGGCACATGAGGGGTGATTGCCCTGGGAATGGGCGCCATTTTGAGCCAATGCGTCAGATTGCTAGGAGTCCAGGTGTTCAGGAGTTCTGGCATTAGCTAGGAGTCCAGGTGTTCAGGAGTTCTGGCATTAGCTAGGAGTCCAGGTGTTCAGGTGTTCAGGAGTTCTGGCAATCCAACGCACAGGCATTAGCGCAGGGATGAGAGCATCCCACAGACAGTGAGTGGGTGATAAAAGGAGTCCCTGGCAAGTGCATGTGCATATGCAATCAAAGGTATAATAAAATATTCAGTCAAGTGGCATATTTATAAGACTTAACTGTGATAACACATGTAACAAACCCTGCTCATGGCATGGAATCTTACAAAGTTGCTAAAATGACTAGGCTGGAGCCTCCTTAAGATAGATATGCATGCTTGGAAGAAGTGTTAATATGTAAGAATAGAATGCTAGAGGAGGCCAGCACCTGGTAAGTTTGCAGTTTGCTTCATTCAGCTTTTTTGCTGCCACATGGCTGTGATGATCAACTGATTGCAGTGCTTGTTGGCATGAAACTGCTTATTGAGTGAATCACTGTCAAAGGCTGCAGCCATTTGTATAATTGAGTTTCAGGACGTGCAATTAGACGTTTTTTTGTTTGAGTGGGCAACATCATCTTCTGAGTGGGGATCTCAGCACAAATTATCATTTCAAATGACAGGTCCGAAACACTGGTGTCTTCAAGTTTTCAGCTTTGCAGTTTCAGATCCCTGTGGGTCTCTGAAATTGGCATCAGCCAGAAGTAAGACCTGAAACATTAGACCATGAGTGACATAGTAGCTCTGAAAGGCGTCTCACCAATTTCCTGACGAAAAGTTCAGAGCCCCACAGGTCTCTGAACTTGCAAAAGTCCAAAGCTGAAGACGCTCATGTGTCTGACCCCTCACCAACATACGATGACAATGCCATGTCTATCATGTGTATGAAACTCTCTCACATGGGCATTAATGGCACCGATGTAGAAGACGCTGCCCAATTTTTTGATCGTCAGAAGACGCTTCAGAGACCTGTGGATCTCCGAAACCACCGTCAGGAAATCACGCGAGACGCTTTCAGAGCAACTTGACCGTCAGGAGACGCTCCCTCTGAAACTGTCCGTCAGAGACGCTTCAGAGATCTGTGGATCTCCGAAACGACCGTCAGGAGACGCTCCCCAAACTCCGAAACTGACCGTCAGGAGACGCTCCAGCTCCGAAACTGACCGTCAGGAGACGCTCCCCAGCTCCGAAACTGACCGTCATGACGCTCCAGCTCCGAAACGGACCGTCAGGAGACGCTCCCCAGCTCC